ATGCCCTCGCCTCAGTCCAGAGCTCTGTGTACCTTTTGGAAGGCAGGGTCTCAGTACTTCGCTCCTCTTGCAACTGCAGCGTTTCTAATTATTCCACACTGATGGATGTGTTGCTACCCTTTCAGCCTACTTAGCCCAGGGGAAACTGAAGAGAGCTACATTTTTGACGCTACAACTTATGCAAGAAACTTTGCCTTTCTCGTTCATGGTTTGGATCGACACGTCGAATCCATTTAGTAAGCTTACTGTTACTGCCAAAAGCCTCTTAACAACAGTGCTTGACACCTCTTAAATTGGGTCTCTATACCTACGCAGGAGTCTCCGTCACTAAGGCTGTGGTGTCCTGATACTAGTGCCCTTAATGACTTCTCCAACGTTTAATTTGTAACGTTATGCTTTAATATTTTGTGTAAATTTACACATCATAGAAAGGTGATGTCGCTCCTGCTAGAGACAATGTCACCGACTTAACATTTAGCTAACTTTCGCACGGTTCTCGAAGTCATTCTGCATATCAGTCACCATCTCTTCATTTGTCTACCATTGCTTCTTATTTGCCTTATATTCGAGGTCAACATTTTGGCGTCCAGAAATGTACATTGGACTTTCTCAGTTGAATGCTTAATTCTTTGTTTTGGCACCAGGCTACTTAGGTCTTAGATGGGTTGCCTGACATCTGAGTCAAGCATACCTCAAACCAACTTCTAATAGGCTCGAAGAATTAGACTTAAAAATGCCATCTGGATATGGAAATTCGGACAGACTTTGCTATTCCCTATCGTTCACCACAACCGGCGACAAATCGTTAGCACATTATATCAACAAAAACTTGAGTCATGTCGATTTTGAAATACAAGGAAGTGGCTGAGTTTCAAGCCCAACGAAGGATTAGCCTCCTACTGAGGCACCCTTTCTGAAGACAGTCAATTTATAGTACGTATTCCCGTGCCCTATGCCAAGGCGACCAACCCAGCATCACTGATTATTTAGCATAAAAATGAACGCCCAAACGCAAAAAATATGACTGCCCACCCCCATGCACCACGAACGGACGCCAGTAGTTCGAAGATCGATGTTGCGACCAGCCGGCTCAAATTGAGCCGCGTCTCATTATACAGCCAGACTCCTCCTCCAAGTCACGTGTCTTGAGAAGCGTGGGACCCCAGCCGATTCGCCAAAATAGATATGAGAGAACAAATAATCACCGCCCTAACCTAAAGCACCTAACGCAGGCTACGGCTAGAAAGGTTGCTTGGAATAAAACCATCAAACATGAGACCATCATCTCACCAACTAGCAATGGCAACCTATCCTATTAACACTCATGTCGATTGAACTTGACTCAGTCGGTGTGCAGGAGACCCAAGTCTAACCAAGCAAATTAAAGTGCAGCCGCTTCGTTATCGTATAGCAAACCACCACTTGTTGCACAGGGCACCAAAGCGATTGAGGAAAGCCATTGCTTATATCCATGTCGGGTAATTCTACGCTAAGTTGCGAAGCATTGTAATTTTGCGCTTTCCACACACAGATTGCAGATATATCGTAAAAGTGGATAACTTCCATATTGTTTGGCTAAATTAGACTAAAACGTGTACGGCTGTTAGGTAGGGCGTTGGTAACGTCTAGTCATTGGATTGGAGTTGGTTTATTGGGCGTGTCTGCATGATATAGGCAAGGTGCAGGGTCTCGAAACTTCTCATCAAACAATAGAAAACATAAAGCTTAACTGAATACTTTGGCAGAAGCCAGTGGTCATCACCCAGCTCTTAGCTCTCACTAAATGGATCCATTCTTTATTCACTTCCACATTTCCACCCATTATCTATCCTCTAACATGACTGCGGACAGCAGTTATGGATACTGAACAGCTTTTCACTATAGTCGCGGTAAGAAACACAAGTACAGTCACTTTTTGAGCGTGGAGAAGGCACGATCGCCAAATAGAATCAAATTTTCGCACATGGTCTAGTTAAGAACCTTAGTCATCAGATTTTACCGAGCTCGGTATCTGAAGTGACTTTGAATTTGAGGCAAAAGTGATGCTCTTTATTTGGATGAGAGGGAGGGTGACGGAACATCAGCATAATATTAGACCCTTTCTGCTGTCGCAGACGCTGAGGCTGCTTCTCGTCTTCGCAGCTTTGCATTCGACCACCTATCAGCGTCAATTACAATACCGTGCAGGGGCAATTATAGAATGGATAGTTTTGGTAAAGGGTTTAGCTTTGAGTAATCTATGCTCCCTTCTCAGTGTTCACTTTTGTGAGCTACAGTCAACTACCAATTAAGTAGGTCAAACAAGCCACAAATCGAACCGGAAAGCGTTCTTCTTTACAAAAACAATATCAAATTGATGTACTCTTTCTCCCTTCCTTCCAAATCCCTCCACAAAATGGGTAGAGTAGACAACTCTGGTGTAGAACATTGGCGGCACAATGTGTGATTCGCATTATCTCGTTGAAGTCATAATAAGAAAATTCAAGAATATCAAAGATCGCAAGTTTAGTGAGTATCTGCGCCAACACTATCTCAGTGGCTGAAAAAGTCTTGAAAGCAAATTATTTCGCAGCCAAACGATGCACACAACTTCTGGCGGAAAGGAAGTGGCGCGATTATTTATAATGAGGAACCGCAAGGAGGAGTAATATTGCCTCGCTATTACTTAAAAGGAAAAAAAAGAAGGATGGATGGAACGACCAAGTGCACTGATCACTGGGGTCCCCTTTAGCACCTTGAGAATGTCGTTATTGGCTAGTCCTTTCCATCTATTTACCCAAGACTCACCTGGTTTATGCCCGCCTCTAGTGTACGGAAAGCTAAGCTAGTGACAGGTTTCAAGGCCACAGAACGTTATAATTAATGATAAAGATGGGAGAGGGAGAAGTGTGTATGCATCTCCTTTTGCCCAAGCATTACAAACCTACGACTTAATTCCTGCAAGGCGATTAAAGACAGCAGTAGTAATTTAGAAAGAGAGAAGGCTAAATGTGCACCAAAACTGGCAAGACTGCCACGATCTTAAAAATGCAATAGTTAAGTAGTGATAAGAACGGTATATAACCAAATAAGAAAGCACTAATATAAGAAGATGGAGGGATATGTAACTGAGATTTTGTCTTATGTCCCTTCTCGTCCGCCCAAATTTATTCGCTGCTGCCAATATACTACCGACCGTAAAGTAAGCAAAGAAATCACAGTGCTATCGCACCGTGATTTTATGTCTCCGCAGCAAAAGAAATTGCCACCAAGGTGAAATCCTACCAGCGGAAATAGAGGATATTAGGAGAGAAGCTAGAGATCACGGAGGAGCCACTGATACCGGTTCGATTGAGAACAATCAGCATGTTGGAGAGTGTTGCCCAAAGCGTTGAAGCTTAACAACACCGCCACATCTGCACTGAACATCGAATATATTCATGTGGAAATAAATAAATTGGGGAAAACCATCACCACTTCAAGAGGAAGCAAATAAGTGAAATGACCTTGAACTACCACGTCATAAAAGAGATTGGCATTCCAACATTTGTCTGCTTTCCATAGCTCTCCTCTTCTTACTATAGAAAAGGTTTAAGTTTGAGACAGCTCCGCTATTCATCAAGACATCCATTCACTTACTCATCCATTAATCTTTTAGTCTTTTTTGATGTTAATTACTCTCCTTATTAATTTGTTAAGCAAAAGTTACGCAAAGAATGCGCCTATTTAATACACGAGTACATAAACCATTTGGGTAAGTGGGAAGTGGCAATGAGGTATTCACTGTGGAGGGCCGTCTTCATTACTACTGCTTTTCTTGCGGTGTCTGTTGTTATTGACGCTAATAGAGTTGTGCGAAGAGAGACAGTAGGAAAACTCAGGCATCATGTAGAGCTTCGAGGGCAGTTGGTATAGCGTTTCTGGTGTTATGTTGACTGGACTAGGCGCAGGAGATTTTTGTACTGGTCCAAGGGCCTTGACACCCGATGTAGAGATGAGGCAAACATGAGGTTGGTCTTCCCATCCGCTCCCATTCCATTGCCTAAAATAGTTGCGCAAAATTTTGGTGGAAAGCACTATGTTGCTTCAATTTTCACTGACCTTGGCATTTTGGGTGTCTCAACGGTAGCAGAGTGATTATTCTGCTGCAGTGAGGAAGACATGTCAACGATAACAGTGGAAGCTGTTTGAGGAGCAGACTGAGCCTCAAAAGTTGGAATTCCTGGTCTGTCTCGCAACCACCTTGTTTCACTACGAAGATGATTTGGTGGATGAAGGTGAGAGTTTGAGCTCACTGGCACCAGTAGAGTCGATTTGCCACCACCCATCTCACCGTTGGCGTATATGAGACCTCTTTGGCTGTCCAATGGGGAAGAGAGGAAGACGTTCTGTGTGTACTGAGGGTGTCTCTGATGGGGTAGGCTTTGGCAAACCTCGTGGAAGCATGTAGATGGAGGGGGAGTTTGATGGTGATTGTACTTTTGTGGAGGTGGAGGTGGGGGTGGATTGTAGAACTGGATATAATTTTGCTCTGGCTCGTAATGCAGAAAGGCGGGAGTAATGGAAGTCTCGTCATTGGTACTATGCAAGCTAAGGCGAGGAGGTTGAGTTCCCGCAGAATTCTTGGCATCGTCACTAGAACGATGAGGCGGAAGGAGATTGGCGTGTGGTGGGCAAATTGTCAAATTGGGGGAAGAGGCAGAGCAAGAGGAAGAGGAGGAAGGAGAGGAGGACTTAAGGTGGAAGAGGTAATGATTTCGAGAGACCAGACAGCCACATATCATGGAGAGGCAAAGCATTGTCCCCAATGACACCATGATTAATAGCAGCTGGATTCGAGGTTGGCAGAACACGCTTGAGCAACTCTGCGTACCTGTTAAGGCATCCAAAAAAATAAACAATTATGCATGCAGATAGTTGGCCGTAAATAAGGCGAATCGGGCCAGCTAATGGGCACTATTCCATTAAAGTCATGCTACTTGCTACTACGTTAGTAAGATAATAAGAATAATAGACTTCAGAGGGAGAGACCAAAAACCATAAGTGACACATAGCAACGCAACTGAGATCGCTTTGAAAGGTACTGAAAGCGCTTTATCCTCTTCCTCAGTTCGAAAATGCCGTTTAACGGCAGGCTGAGTAAGGAGGCAGGGATAATAAATTAACGTACCTTGTGAATTGGACTCCTCGGAATTATGAGGTGAAGGGTTGACAACCTCCAATATCAATGATCGTACTGCAAAGTGAATCTTCGGTGGCATAAACGTTGTTCTTGGGCTCCTCTCTTGCATACTGCTGCACTTATGGGGCTGTATGCAAGGAAGATGAATGGCAAACTTCAGATTCTGTCACAACTGCAAGTTATTGTAAATATTGTATTTCAATTTTAAGCAGTTATTGTTCAACTTGTCAAAACGATACTTGATAAATCAATGAAGGTTCCCCCAAAGAGCTGAAAAGATCACGTTGTAGCAGAGTGTAACGCCATCATAAAACAATGAGATAAGCCATGCATGCTTTGTGCACACATATAACATGGTGTCACGTATATTTTATATAGAACTCTAAATCTAAATGTTTGATTGTAAATACGGCATTTGCATGATGATTGAAGAAGCTTAATAATGCACTTGATCAAGATAACAATTTGTAGACCTTTCTTTTGCTGGTAAGGGTGAGCCATTTAGGGAGTGGTCCTACCAACAATGCCTATTCCCTTCGCACTACCTTAAAAGACTATCGACTTCAAATATTCATCCTCACTCACTGATCCATTCACAAGCGGCGATGAAGGACATACCGTTTTCCATACCTTCCCTGTGTGTGTGCAGAGGTATGAGTGTGCAAACAAATTTTTCTTATCCTTCAATTAGCGCAACTGATAACTACATAAATAACTTAAGTTGAGAAGGAGAAAGGCAGATTGTTTGGCAAAACAGGCTTGAATAAATGAGGGGATAGCGTGCACCACGCCAATCTGTCAAAGTGGGGTCTGGTAGTGCTGTGAAAGCCTAAGGAGGACGGCAAAGATCTACACGACCGATAAGAGCTGATGGTGTGACAGTGAACGCAGTGGTGAAGGCCGAGACAAGGCCTGCTTGTAAAGGAGAAAACATCAACTTTCCAACTGGTCGTAATGCTGCCAAATGAATTGAGATGCTGTGGGGAAGTTTATGTGGCTATTATTCCGCTCTACCCCCCAAACGTGTAGAAACTGGAAAGTAATAACAATAAAGCTAGATGTCTTTGCATTTTCACTTATGCTATTGTCACTACATGGATGTCATTTGACTGACAAAGGATACTTACAATGACTACAAACAAATATTTGCCAACTGGGACGTAAGGAAATAAGAAAAGCAATGAGTAGCTAAATTTTCTTTGCGCTGTAATATTATGATCCCTATGTAACTCGTTAACTCCTTCTTCACTGCTGTTGATAGCAAGTGCCATAAAACGGTTTTGGCAGGACAAGCAAATTCTTAGGGATTAAAACCTTCGACTTTCGGTAAGTGAGGTTGTGATGAACCAGAATATGCTTACCAAAGCACACCAAGCTTGGCGGGCACACAGTCGAAATCCACAAGTGATTCTCACATTTGTCGCTGATGCGTTGGTATGGAATGTGGTAGAGTCTATTCGAAACGACTCATTCGGATGCTTTCTCTATAACAGATTAAACCAATGTTTATTGAAAAGTCAATCTTCATCACAAACGCTCAAACGCAGAGCTATCCATTGAGTAGTTGGATACACTGCAATTCAACGATCTCAGCCACACTTGTGTTACCAACAAGGCAGTTGGTAACATTATTTATGATCCAATAAAACTAAGCGGCTGAGAGAGAATCCAAGTTATCTAATCCTCATGGTTGCAGATTGATGGGTGATAGATGATCTAGGTGACGTTGGATAGCTTTCATAATGGCGATGCTGAGAGCTGAGAAGTGTAATACGGCCATTGTGTCACGATGCTTCCGCACTTTACATCATTAACACTCGAATACTAACTTGTGCCCGGTGCATCCCTTAGTGAATAGACAAAGGGGAGATTGGGTTCGTGGTCGGTCAGTTTAGCGCAAGTCACCTCACACGTCCGAAGGTCTAATTGTAGCCTTGTCCTTTATTATGTTAAACGTATCTCAAGTAAAAGGCGAGCAACCCCAAACGTTACTTTCATAACCAATGGTCTCTCCTTATTCTCAGCATCAGTACTTCATAGAGTGAAAAGGATCACTCAATAATGTCCCACCACAATAAGCTGACTTACTGGAGCGATTACAAACGCTGGAAATAATGAGGAAACAATCGAGATGAGGGAGGAAGAAGCAGGAGGGGGGGATTTTGAAGAAAAGGGTTGTGACACACTATCTCTTGCCGGTTGGGACAGAGTGTAGGTGAGGAAATTTCCTGAGAATCCGCACTCCGTGTTTGGACACCTGTGGACAGAAAGTGCCGGCTTTTAGTGACAACCTCAAAGTATCATAATGGAGCTTTCACTTTCTTTAACAATAATGGACCTGGAGGATTGTGAGTTGCTCGAATATCTGCCCTTTTGTCCAGCAAACTCCAACTTGAAAATTGGGCTTTGACTCATACAGTTCTTATTACTGATAAGGAAGGAGTCTGCACACGTCCGCAATGGCCAGACACCGTCAAACGTATTCATCAGCTCATCACAAAGACATGCACGACAGGCTTCAACAGTCGTAAAGCCACACCACTTGCAATCCATGAAGCCGAGATATTTAAAGCACATCAATAAGCCTTACTTAAGGTGGCACTTCATGCCAAGAGGTGGATGATACCACCCATAAAAAGTATGACTAGTGACCACTGCGCGGACGATTCAGGCAATTAACCATCTCCGCGTTCCTTACTTGTCTGCCCGCGGATAATCATCTGCTTACACTTCTTGAGCCTCTATGTGCTGTCACTCCTCCTTGCCCTTATAAGTATGCAAACTGACAAGCAGAAAAGGCTTTTATTTTCTGCCATATAGAGGGAAGTAAAGCCAATGAAGTGTTTGTTCGCAAAAACGGAGACAACCCGCTTTGGTGACGATTGAAAAGTACTAGTGGAATTACCAGCATTCTAATATCTTGCCTTGGGATGAGAGGGATGGAGGGATGGAGGAAAATCACTTTGGATAGGATAATGGGTAATGGAAAGTTGAAGTGGAAATGTATTGTGCCCTTTTCTTCAACCGCTTATCCAAACACCTTTGAACTTTAAAGGGCTGATAGTGGGTGTCCCTTTAAAGACTGTTGCCATTCTCACATACCAGAGAATTGACGAATTGCATAAGTGAGAGATTTCGAATCGTATTTCTTAGTAGATTCAGAAAAATGAAAATATTATAGCCATTGTGGTGAAGAGGGAGGCGTGGTACTGGGCTCCAGAGGAATTAATAAGGATATACAAATGGTGGATCTCATGAATGACTTACCCGCGATTAATAATTTCCACGTGCATTGACTCCGAAGCGGTGGCATGACAGGATTCGACCACAAATGTCGTATAGGTAACTGCAAACAGAGCAGACAGTTCAAAACCATGTTGCACTTACACCACAGTAGAGGGGAGGCAATGTGAGACGCTTTGCAACAGTGACAACATCTACACTTCAAAGTTCATTAAGGCCCTTCTTATCAGATCTGGTTTTCTTTGCCTGACCCTTGATTTCAGTCAAAAGAGGGCTTCATCACTCTTTGAGAGGTAGGCTAAATGCCATTTTCAAGTGTTGCAATATGGCTAAGGCAAAAAATAATGTTAACATACCCATTAGTTGGTTTAGTAAAGAAATAAGGTAATTATCATGAGGAAAAAATCAAAACCATGTAGGGCTTTCCATGTGGCAAGAGTTAGTGCGCTCGCCTGTGGGGTCAAACATAGTTGCTTTCAGTTGAATTGGTGAGGCGAGAAGGACACTGGAGACCACTCTTTTGGTAACAGAGATGACCTTAAAGGATAGGTCAAGTGCTGCAGGTGTGGGACGCACATTGTCCACATTCCACTGGTCTGATAGGCGTTGAGACCTTTGGGGATAGAGCACACCATCGGGTCGAGAAAGCATTAAGTAAGACAATAAAGCTAGGAAGTGGCAGTCTATCGAATCCTGAGGTTTAAAAATGAGCAAATCACCCTTCCTGCTACTTACTACAGACAGTAAGTAAAAATTTGATACGATTATTATCACTACGACACACATTCCAACTTTCTCCACTACAAGGACAGTCCGCCTGATTGTTGATAGGCGTGTAAGACCAGTAAAAGTGTGCTTCTATTTTACAGCCTGCAGTCTTACATCACACACCCTCCATGTCATATACAACCGACCCATCAAATTTCTCTCCCCTCTCATTGGCGTAAAGAGATGTAAAAAAGAGATGATGAAACTTCCGTTTGAATGATTACAACCTCCTCATCTTGGTATTACACGCTGGTGACCAAATGGGCCAGCAGACCTGCATTCCAAAGACAGTTAAGCTATTCGTATTTTTGCCGATTTGTTTATTTTCGTTCGGCACTCATGCCGTTTTATATATGGACCATTGAATAGGCTTTCTCACCTTGCTATATTTTAGCATAAAATGTCACTTCTTTGTACTCTTTTATTCCTGAATTCTGTCCTCTTCCCGACCTTCCATGTTTAAGAAATGAGGCACGTAAAACAAAGGAGGAAATGATGTCCACACAAATGACTGCTATACACCACATAAATAAAAGTTGCGATAAGCGGTAATACTTTTACTTTCTTGATTAAATAAAATTAATTAAGAACGCAGCTCTGCGTTGGCGCAGAGGACATTTCAGTTTTACACGTCATTGTATTTGGTGGCTTTTTTAACAAAATGCCATTGACAGGTTCCATTAAAAGCAACTCAAATAAAAAACATCAGCCTAGCATTTTAACTCCTGTCTAACCATCAATGATAACCGCAATTTATGCTGATGAAAGCGAATGTAATGAAGGCAGTTGCTTACTAGTAAGATGTGCCGGCCTATGAGTTCCTCGAATGACCTCACCACTTGGCTACTCTCTCCATCCTTCTACCAAAGACTTGTGGCGGAGTTTTAATGCGACAAACAATGGAAAAACGATAAGGTGGTAAAGGAAGAGGCGACACCTGCCTTAAGTACTGATCATAACCATATATATTTTTAAAAATTCCAATACAACCAATTTTACCAGCAAAGGAGATGTTTTTGGCGGAAAGTGATAATAACCACCTATATTTAATTTTGATATAGCAATTATACCGAATTCAATAAAGCCATTCGATACAATGTGAATTGTAGTATGTGCCACCTCCGCATAAAGGCCCTGCGGTTACCGAGGTTCCCAAATGGCTTCCATTTAAAAGCTTAGAGGATATGAGAGCAGACAAAAAGACTTGAAAACACTTGCAATAGTAAAGTTGATTGCAATAATGAATTGCTTGAAGGTAGAAAATCATAATCTAGAAGATTTTCTGGCTTTGTTGGGCTGGCCGACAAACATTTTATAGGCTAACTTTAAGATCATGACAAAAACCACTGAAAAAGCAAGCGATTTTTCACTCAAGCGCAAAAGTTGGAGACGCTGTCACGGTCGTATTGGGTAGAAATGTAAAGTAAGATTGCAATTATGTTCTGTCGCCTTGGGCGAATGGTTGTTGCTTCCAACAGTCAGCATAACCAGCACGCAGGGGACTCGCCCCAGACACGCTATTTCAAGGTCTGCAATGAAGCATAACTCCAGCTCTCCAATTCAGATTAGTCGTTCTTCCAGTTGGTTGATCAGCCTTCCATGGTGGTCATCGTGGCTATGGCTTCGAAATCATTAACCGCATTCAACCTCCAGCAAACTCGTCCAGCCAGTAGTGCTTACTCTAAATTGTCAGTTTTAATTTAAATACATTAATTTGGGATTGGCAACAAAGTCGGATGATAAAATATTCTTGCTAACTCCATAACTCTAATCATGGCAAGCACCAGTACTCAAAAATGCAAAAGTCTGAGAGAGTTGCAATTTCCCTTCAAATCGTTGTAATGAAATCATTCAGAAATACGAACTCAAAATGTCTCAAATAACAAGGTGAGAGCATTTGGAAACAAAGTCGAAATCGGTTTGACGTGCTTGGCCTCAAAAAACAAAAGTCTCATTCTTTTCAATAAAGACCAACTGTTGATTAAATTTCAGTATAGTCCTCTACTGTCTCTTTCAATCGTTCACATCTGTGAGACTTTTATTTTGGATCATTCATCTCATCCCTAGAAAATCAATCGTGGCAGAGAGACGGTGTTGCATAAAGGGTCTTTTAAATTGCTATAACACACTCACCAACTCCCTTCCGGTTGTTGTTTAGGTGATGCCTGTTGCGCCTGAAAATTGATTCTTGGCATGGTGGTAGAAATCGCCCCACCTATGGTGGGAGTGGCAGTGGCAGCAGCATTGGCGACGGTGGTTGCGTTGGTTACGGCGGTGGAACAGTGCAGATCAAAGCGCATGTCAACACGACTGTTCCACAAGTGAGCATCGGTTCGCACCTCTAGAAGGCCTTTGATGTCCACCTCATTCTACGCGAACACAAATTGGATTTTAAACCACTGAACATCCCTTTCAATCTTAGCTTGAATGTTGTGCTATGCTTGCTATCGAATGCAAAATCTCAAAAATCTCTAAATTTCTTGCTTTCTCTATTATAATTTAAGCAAGCAAAATTCAACGACATTAAATACTGGCATTTATAGGGGAAATACAGTCAGCCACCTCCAAGCCATAGCCTCAACACCCACACCATCCACTACATCACATGCATCAGTTTAACACCAAAAGGAGACGAAGCTAAATGTGCGCTGCGGACACAGGCGTTGGAGAAGATCAAACACTTCAAGGGGGTGCAATAACAGTCCAGCCTCACCTCTCACTTAGACGTTTATGTCTCTTAATGAGGACAACTCATGCCTCGCACCTTATACTGAATTAATCAGACAAATCGACGCGTTGGCGATTTTCTTGTCTCATCTCACAGGACAAGACGCCCTTGTCTCTCTTAATATTACCAAGCTACTTTCACCAACTCAATTTTCAATGGTTAACTTGAGGTGGAATATAAAGTGTTGCTACTTAGTACTTCTCCCCTTTCACTAAACTTTGCGCTAAGCATAAAAATGCGAGATCTTCCGCCACTATCTCTCCTGCGACCATGAATTACATTTGCATTTTCATTCTGCTTTTTAAAATAGTGTTAAACAATCTAAATGACTGAAAAAAGAATACGTTTTGTGCTTACCGCACTCGACAAAAAGCAATATACATTTGCGACTTCAAACTGCCAAACAGTGGCATATTAGATGCTTCAAAGACTTAGGATTGATTGCGAATTGTATACCTTAAAGGAGATGCTAAGAAGGATTCGCTGCTTGACACCAGCGGACCCAGTAAACACTAGGAGCACATTAAAGACATCTGATGCCACAAATGTCTTGCCTTTAATCAGCCTCCAGCCTTGCGGAATGCTGCCAATTCTGTGTAAAACCAAGGAGAAAGATGAATTTTGAAGGCTCCTCAAGGCATGCTTTGGAATCTCCGGTTTCTCTGCCATGCAGTCATGGCACCTTCTTTGGAAGTGGCCACAAACCTCTATTTTACCTAACATTAGCGCTTATATAGAAAACTAGCAATAGTTAAGCCATTCAAAAAATATAAGGAAAATTTTCTTAGTAGCCTAGGTGCAAATGCATTTATTTGTTTACATGATGACCATAATTCGACTAAGGGAGGGAGGAAGTTATCAGAAAACACTGGAACTTTCCTCTCTCTTCCAAATTTATCTTTCCATTTCACATTATTTGAATACTAACAACAAATAGGTGACTTAGAATTTCGCTAAAATAATGAGGAGTTCCTTCGAAGCCATCGCATTTGAAAGCTCAGTAGGAAGAGACTACCATGAATGTGGATGTGAGACGTAAAACGCTTGAACCAAGACACGTTTAGCCAACTAATTACACAACTGAACAGCGAGCCAAGCAACACTGCTATTCTACGTACCTTTTCACAAACACACATTCAAAAATAGCATGTCAAATCGTCCGTGAGCACACTACAGGATGAAGAGAGAAATGGGTAGAAGATGTGCTCCAGTATGCATTCCACTGATTTTCAAGTCCCACCTCCAATAAGTACTATTTTCCTGATTGTTGTGAAAGCTAATGTTTTGATATTTAATTGCAATGACGCTTATTGGCATGCATGAAGCACCGTTTCCTATTAAATGTGCGCAATTTTGGTACCACAGATGTGTGGCTACAATGCATGTCCCTACTGCCATTGAAGATCTAGCAATATAACTTATGGACGCCAACTTATCTATGGTTAAAGCGATATTTGTAGCAAAGGTAAAATAATCAAGGTAAGCAATCGCTGTGCAAGACAAGAAGGAGCCGAAACCAGGTGTCAGCACTCCATGTCTTCCATCTCAACAAGCTCCCGCACACCAAATCCTTACACTTAGCAAAGACACCTGCAGCAGTGAAAAGGTCAGAGCTTGCGCCACTTACAAGACTTCGATGCCACAAGTGAGAAGAGTTAGAAAGAATTGCAAATTTATGCGGAAAGTGCATAAAAAGTAGGACAACTAAACACATACAAGACAAAATACTCCCTAAACAATGGAAAACATCGTGCTGCCGGATGATTATGCAAGTATTGCAGCCTTAAGATGGTCGAACTGTGTGAAATTTTATTTCTTTATCCCCAGTAAACCTTATCAAGGACCTTATCTAAAAGACGACTACTTCTATATCTATGGTTTGGTCAAGTTGCCTTGCGTTTATACACCATCTGCCTTCGCTTTTAATACCTCCAAGTAGCGTAATTACGGTATTTAGGGGCGATTACACGATGGAGAGGATCTAGCGTGTTAATTTCTGCCTTTTATGTGTGTTATAGGTTACATGACTGCGGTAATGTTCGCGGTACTTTTGGGCTTCCGAATTCTCCCACACACCAGTAATAATTGCATTTATGGACATATCCTCCTAGCCGCGCTCGGTGGCACAGTCGAGCCTTACTTCATTTCGGTCCACAGTTAGACCGCAAGGAAGTCTCGTAGCTCCCCTTCCGCTGCTGACAAGATCAAAATTGACACAGAATTGATGCGAATGTCGTCTCACTTCCCAGTGATGGGAAGCAGCTATCGCTTCACTGTCTTCGCCGAGATCTGAAGCTCGGAGTACACAACTTCGTGGAACTACCGCAGTTGTTACTGCCGTTGAGAAACCTTCTCCAGTCAAGTAGGCGATGCCATTACCATCCATCAGTGACTGGTGCAATTGTTGGTATGGCGGTCTCGTTGGTGGTAGAAAACAAACCAAAAAACGATTTGATGAGCACGTTACTTGTACTAAAAAAGAAAAATAAAAGTATCTAAACATTCACAGACTGGGAGACATTGGGGCACACAGCAAGCAATTAAACAAATTATTAAAATATCATCTTACTAGCACTAAGTGAAGTTCTGCAATTTTAACAGGCAATACTTTGGCATTGGCGTAAAGTGGGCCATGATTGGTCGAAGCCATTCCATCTTCCATTACTAACCGCGACGCGCAACAATTTTTACGAGAACCTTTTATTAATTGGTCTCAAGTTCATATCAACTGAGCTATTTGCTCCCCATAATTGGTACAAATGAGGTTGTTTTCCTAACAACCTCTTCCCCAACGATGGTACTATGGGACTTTCATGTGTAAATAGTTTTAGTACGGAGACTAAGTAGAATGGGAAAGGAAACATGAAGACACCACGCTTAGCACACCGAATAAACTGTAAGAAAAGCCGTTAACAATAAGTTGGCCTTTCCGCTGGACTTATCAACACTCCACTAGCACAGATTCGTTTTCTTCCACTTTTTTTTATTTTTAGCCAAAAGCATTTCTTCAAGATGTATGCAAAAAAGCCTCCTTATCTCCAGCCATTAATCCTACACTAATTACAAGCTCCCGATGGCCTTACGAAAAGTCTCTGCTTCCGTCCAGGTGGAAGTTGGTAGACTGCGCGCACATCATCATAATCATTATTATTTGCCTATATTCTTAGTGAGACACGTCAGTGATGTGGCACACACAAGTGGTGCTTCACAGTTAACTTTTATAAATTGGAGTTGAAGCCTCAAAACGAGAGCATAATCGTGTATGGCAAGGTTGGTAAACAATGCAATCACAAACCAGACTGGTATTCGAAACAAGTGGAGCTAAGAAAGTGGCTAATTGTATCGTTCTGGAGGGGACCAGATTTACTACGGTAATTAGGCCTCATCATCATTATTATATGGAGAGGAGCTTTTACCTCTGAGCAGTATTTTGTGTTGGCATAAAAATGGGAGTGATTACCCAGGAGAAATGACTTTCCATCTACTCCCTGCCTCATCCCCTTCTAGTCCTTCTTCTTCTTCTCCACCGCCACCGCCACCGCCACCACTAACACCTCCTCATCCCTCAGACATTGGGAGTCCAAGTCTGACAGTCACCATTAGCCCACAATTTTTCCTCCTGACACGCTATGGCAGAGAGAGAGAGGCTAATGGAATGTCTAAGAGGTCCACTTCTCACCTCCTCATTAGCCTAGCGCAGTGCCGACGACACAACGCAAGCATAGTATTGCATTCACTACGTGATGGGTGTATGTGTGTATGTATATGAGTGTGTAATGCTCCACATTTTCAAGTACCGATAACCTCAAGTTTTAACAGTTGCCCCCTTTCCATTGCATCCTCATCTTAAAACTCTTCTTCTTAACATTGCGTTCTATGACTATTTAAAAAGAGGCTTTTGCCTTTGAAAAGAAGGAACGTCTAATAAAGCAAACTTGAAACTCTTACACCGAATAAGTCATTGGTTTCGGTAGAAAATTGCATTTCATCTGTGGATTTTGCTCTCCAAAGGGAATTTGGCAGCATGACAGGAAGAGGTCATGACATTGTCAACCTGACTTTGTACGAGTAAAGACTAGTTTCCTTACCCATGGGTCTGTGACAGGATTCGTCCCAGGCACCAGCGTTTTGCGGGCCCATTTCCATGATTCCAGAGACTTCTTTGCTCTTCTCCAGGATAATATCTAACGTTGGCCAGTTGTGAGAGTAGGAAATGGACATCTCTCTCGAACCACTCGCACCGTGGTACAGGGACTGAGTTTTCGGTGTGGAGCCCATTCTTGCACAAAATGTATCGTCTGCCCTTCCATCACCATTTAAATCAACGCAAATTCCAGCGTTTTCTTTGGATTCACAGGCAACTTGCTTGACTGGAAGGAAGAAGAAAAGTGGATCATATCGTCAGTCTCCTTGCATTTTGCTTAACAGTAAATATTGTGTGCAATAGGTTTAATCCTTTAGAGCCTCACTGCCCTAGGGATGAAGTGATCCACATTTTACTTGCTTAAGTGCCTCGCAGAGAGAGACAATGGTTAAGTTGTCATACGTGGTAATGAAGCTAGACGGGGGTTGTTGTTAGTGCAAGTGTAGGCATGGGAGCGGTAGGTGAAGGGCACGCACAGCACTCGTGGTAGTGAAGACTCTGTTGGTAAACTGGAAAGAAGCCAGGTTTGCATCGACAGGTTGGTGGGCCATCGTCATTAAGGGAGGAGCACAGAGAATTCCTCGGTCGACAGAACAAATCCACGTGATTGCAGAGGTCACCAACGTCAACTAGGCGAGAAACACAGGTTATGGTTTAGCAAAATTTATACGCTCCCTCGAACATCGATTTGATGAGAAGTAAGGAAAATCGCATTCTTCTTTCCCCGTCACCTTTAAACCCTTACAGTAGGAAGGGGTTCATCAATGATGCAAGTGGATAGAATCAGGCTATTTAAATGAATAGCATTTGTTGACAAATTATGACATTCACTGCCATAAGACGACTCCCCGTCAGGCAGTACGCATAGTCAACGCTTTGGCAGACACTTGATCTGCTGACAACCGATTCGCATCACTAGAAGTTCTATAAGTACACTAAGGTGAGAGATCCAGTTAAACTTTAAAATGGCATCCTTTGTTTTACAGGCGTGAATCAGTTCGTACGATGCATCCACACGCAGACACCAATGGTCTCCCATCATAATAGCAACAAACTAGAGGACAGCATTTTTATAAATGCTATATACATACAGAATGGTACTTTTTGAAAAGAGAAGTAATTGTGTTTAGTTTTACCTAAAATGGCCTTACAGAAGGCCCATTGTGCAGTCGCTGTGTCCTTTGATGTATACGAACCTTGCAGGACTGGCATTGCCGTATTGAAGGGGCAGGCACATCCAAATTTCTCTCTGCAATGTGCAAATATACAAAATTTTACTTACTGTAAGAGGCAATCTTAATTGCAGGCAATGGCTATTGTGTTTCACTAGTAATGAGTCTCTTGAAAAACTGCAGTATCATCACTGCTGAGCCATAACAGTAGTTCCAACACCGTCTGTTCGCTTAATTCGTGTCTTCTGCTAGAGTGTTGTGCCTTCGTGCTGTGGGTCACATTGATGACAATGAATAAGGGAACTCGATTCTGCATTAAATTCCTCCTGATATCCTTTGCTGGAGGAACCGTCAGTTCTACAGATGGGAGAATCACCGACCATCTACGGCAAGGGGAGTTAAAATGATCCAACTCTTGGAAAATCCTCAAGCCCTTTATTCAGCCTGATGATTATGTAAACCAACTCCAAATCACGTTGAGTATCTCCTTAGCTGCATGATAATTTGACGATCGACAAGGGCGACTCGTTGGTATTTTCATCTGCCTGCAGCGCAAGATGGCTAAGTGGGGCTAAGGTTGGGTCTTAAAAGCGAAGGGAAACACATTGCATGTAATAGAGACAACTATTGGATCTTCTACACACCGTCCATGGGCCTTCCGGGGACGATTGTAGCCCAAAACTTTTAATGGGAGTGAGTGAACTCATTTGACCCTAGTAGCAACGCTTCCTCTTTCAGACTACGAAAAAGATCTGAACAACTTCATTTGCCTAACAGACAAGCTAATACCGTAATACCATCTACTGTTGGCACAACCTATTATCGTAAGCTCAATACATTATACCTAGAAAGCTAATTTAATGTTTTAGTGCTTCATACATTTCTTTTCCATAAATTTGCATCAAAATAATGTTTCTATTACTTAAAAGGCTTACGTCTTTTTGAGGCTGTCCGTGTAGTAGCAGACCCCATTGACTTGCCTGCATATCTCACAGAAGCTGTTGTTCACATTCTCGGCAACATTGTCTACAAGGCCATGCAGTATGAATAAATAAATGAACGAACTAGGCAGCGGTAATGTGGTATAAACTTGCATCTTTTTTGCCCTTCTTCTCCCTATGCCAACGTTTTTCAGCCATTTACTAGCCTTAACGACCCAGAGGTGAGTTGTGCGTCTCTTTAATGTTTCATACACACTGGTGTCTTACTCCATTCCACCTCAGCTCAAAGGGAATACAAAAAAATGAGTCTTTTGTGAAAAAAGAATGCCCGTAAGGCAATCCAAAAAGTGAACGAAGAGGATAAAATAAAAGAACGATTCCTCCTTTATCTAACATTTAAAAAGTCTCTTTATATTTAACATTGCTTGGCTTGTTATGAGGTGCCTTCTTTGTAGCCTTATCTAAGATCGCAGTTATATGAAGGTATGGAGAAACTCTGGTTTCAAGGGAGGAGAAAAAGGATAAGGAAGAGCAAGAGGAAGGACCAATTTTGGGCGGTGTCATGACAGGTGAGTGCAGCGTTCGGGTGCAAAGTCAAATGCTCCATCTCTGATTCCTCAATATGAAACACTTATGGAATAGGAAAAAGAATTGCCACTCACCCACCTCCACCCTCCTCTCTTTCTCTTTCTTCCACTCAGCCCCTAATATTTAAATCAAACTGCCATTTTTATGAATAGCCCACTTTTAAATCCTAATATTCTTAGGATTTTTCACAGTAATAATCGCAGCAAGTAGGATGCTTAGCCAATTCTTGCCAAATTTGTTAACCAATTCAATCTATCAGTGGTTGTTCCATGGGCCTGTGGAGACTGTGCTTTGGGATGTAGATCCAAGAACGTTACATTTTGATTTGGACTTTGAGAGAAGAAGTGCCATTGTTTTGTAGTGCGAGTTCAATCCAAAGCAACCTGTTATGCTTTTTTAGAGAGAGAAGGAGATGGCCCTTGTAGCAGATGGGTAATCCTCGGTGAGAGGGCTAAGTGTCGTAATCGAATGCTACTGACCTCAAGTTCGACTAATTTTTGTTTCTGAACATTCCGCCTTGTGCTATCGTCTGAGGTTATAGCTTTCGTCTCTCGGATTTAACATAGGTGAATGCAACCACAAATAAACAAGTGAAATTTATGGATATGTTTGTGGCTAAACAATTGACCTACATTGTGCATTCAACTACAAACCTTTACGGAGGAAACACAATTCGAGAACGTCTACGGAGTAAACTTAACTTTCTATCTCAAAGGGCTGAAGCTAACGCACAAATCCACGTAAGAGTAAAAAGAGGAGACAGCTTCGTGCCATAAAACGTGCCTTTAAGAATAACTCATTAGGTCAAAGCTTGAGAAGGGGTTGAACAGACAGCAACGATCTCTTTCGTGATGAGCAGGTAAATCTCTAGCGTTGTCAACCTATCCGTCCGCAAAGCATGGATTTTGAGGTCTTAGTGCCTCCCAACCATTTAACACCATTCTGCCTCAGTATTCCAAAAGTAAAACTATTAATTGCTATCAATTTTGTATGGGTGCACTTAAAGCAAATAAGGTACTTAAACAGAGGATTGCCATTTCAAGGTTATACCAAATATCTGATAAGGTATTTGCAACAATGTGGTTTTATCGCGGCAATAATGCAGCCAATAAAAAACAGTACTGCCCAGCAAGGGTGGGTAGGGGGGCATTGAGGCAAACACTGTTCTTTTTCGAGCCTCAAACTACTTGGGTCTGCAAAGGCCCCACTGCGGGAGAAAATGGAAGTGCATGAAAGCACTAGGATTGTGTTTTTTTTTTGAAAAAATGCAAAGTACTGCATGAGTCCTAATGGATTTTCTTGGAGATGTGCGCTTACCGGAACAGTGAAAGAGTCGTTAGAGCCCCTAAGTGGAGCGATCAGAGTGCATTATTTGAGGAGCATTTGCCTTTGAAGGAAAATGTATGCCTTTGCCTAATGTACGATCTGCTTCTTAGACAAGCCTTTTACAATTTAATGATCCCAAAACTTCTAGCCACAGCTCGACACAACTTAAGAGTAATACTTTTTTACTCTGACGAAAAGGAAGACACAAATTTGGCTACAAAATAGGAAAGTGTTGAAAGGTTATAACTTATCGTATGGTTCCTTTCTTTAATGGGGTTTCTGTGGACAAACTCCAACCAATCCAGGACACACAAATTGAAGCGCTTCTTCTCTGTCTTATAAAAATGATTCATTAACATGGATTATGTTTGTTTGCCTTATGATAGTTATAGGGGAATATTTTTTGCGTGCGAAAGTTGGAATCTAGGAATAAAACTCCTATTTGCATTATCGTCCTAATGGTAAAGCTTAGTAAAGACAATCTGCATACTAGCAAGGAACCGAGCGAAAGGTCCTGAAAAATGTGCTGCTATTTTCGCAAATGATGTAGCTAAAGCATCCATTTAATAATTTGAAAAAAAGAAAGAAAAGATTAACACATAAATATGTGGCGATAAAGGTTCGAAGATTCGCGTCGTCTGTTTTGAGAAGGCAGAAAAGTCGCACCTCCTCGGCCAAGATTCTGTGTGGAATGTACTAAATGACAGCTTTTTTGAACGAGCACAACTTGGGTCAACAACATTCATTTGATCAGAATGGCCGTACTGTTAGACTTTTGTCTTTCTTATGTTCCACTGCTGCCGAACGCCTCTAGTAATAGACATGCTTAAACTTAACTAGAATGAGGAAAGTGCTGTGCCCTTTCTCCTCCAAATGAATGTGGAAATAGTTAGCTAAACTACTGGCTGTAAAGTAGAAATAAAGCTTGCAGCACAATTCTCTGCGTTTGTTTAACATTGCGTTAGTGTTAGCACAGTTAACCCAAACTCATTTTCGGTCTATTTGAATGCGTAATATTTTTAAAATCCATGGATAAAAAGACATTTTGTGCTTTGAAACTCATGTCAGTAGACTATTTGAGCAAAATTAATGCTCATTATGTGCATAATAATAAGTGTAGTTGCAGCAGTGATTTTGAAGTGGTACATTTTTGCTTCTCATAGGTCCTTTATGCCATTTCTCATTGTGTGCTGAACAAAAATGTGACAGGAGTTGTACGGAGTAACAAGGATGACTCATTCGACCCTCGATGTGGCCGGCACTGTCATGACTGTTTTGGATTATGAGAGCTTAAAACAACGCTATAGTGAGATGCATCTTGCTTAATCAGTACAGTGCTCTGAATAACTTTCTGTGATGTTTTCATCACATCATAGAGTTGTACCTAGTAAATTGATTCGAAACCTTGTTGGCCCATATTTGGGATGCGTAACACCCTTGCAACATTGCATGAAGGCATGATAGCAGAGAGGCAAAATATGCGGAAGTGGACGTGTTCTCCTTAAAGAAGTTCTCTACCCACTGCAAACTAGAGTAAAATATAAACTCGATAAATTCAGTAAATGGGTCACCTTTACAATTACCAGCATCGGGCCAAAAGCGTACCATATAACAGAATGTAGAATGCACTATTATTGCCTTAAAGGACTCCTTTTCTGTGCGTATCGGCATCACCTATGCCTCTCGAATTGAACTTCTAAAATCCTTTAACTAAGATTTTGAACCCACCATTGCTTACCTGTAAAATGTCTACTCTCCGTTGAAAGAACTCACGCGATTTAAATGGGCTTAAATTGGGCTTGTTCACTTGGAGGGGGTCAACTAACGCCAACGACCATGACCTATATACCTCAGACATTAAAGGTTCAACCGAATAAGGGCCTAAGCTTTACTAGGCAACCTACTCTCATGTGATTTGTGAAATTACTTTAAAACTTACGATCGTATTGACATAATTTAGGTGTGTTAACAGGGTTGGATGTGAGGAAGGTTGAGGGAATGGATGTTTTTTCCAGAAAAAAAATAAAACACTTTCATAAAATAGACCTTAAACTTCTTAAAGGTGCTTTTAGCCTAAGGTATACTTGGTGATTTTGTTTGCAAGTAAAACACCTAGGGAAACCTCAGAGCTAGGGGTCACTCGTGGAGGTTCCGATGATGAAATGATAGCAATAAAAATGAGATAAATTGGGCTTACGGCAGGCATTTTCTTGAGCCACGTATACAGTACCACCGGGGCATGCACAATATCCGGCTCCAGGATGGCAGATGCTGTTCCTCACGTGAACACAGTCCTTGTCCACATGACAGGTAAGGGAGGTGAGCACTGCAATGGTGGCATAACTTGTCGCTTAGCTGACTAGCTAGGCATAAATATCTACCCACCCACCTATCCTCATCACCTAAATGGTTGTACTCATTTTTAAAGCCAAGAGTAATGTGTTTGCGAATACTTCCAGCAATACAAAGTTGGTACGATTTTACGGCAAATCGAATGTTCCACCACATCATGCTTATAACATCCACTGTACGCCTAAGACTAACTCTCGTGATACGTTGCTAGTATCTTTGTTAAGGTGCCTGTCAGTTGTAAACAGACGGCTGTTTAGTTGTCTCATTGTGCTTCCTTGCCGGCAGCCTCAATCCCCTCAGTATGCCGCGAATTTTTGTTTTCAATGCAGATCTTGTGTTTAATTCGTCTACTCAGACGCTCATATTAGTACAAGTTGTAAATAGCACCTATCGAAATGATCTTGCTTTATTTCTAATGCCGTTAACCATTTACGGTGCTTTACTTGCGACACAAAATAAATGCCCTTAATCATCCTTATTCCTGCTCAAGTTGAAGTCTAAAGATTGGACAAGTATTTGCGCAGACGTTAAGCAAAAATATTTTCTTCTTTTGTTAAAGGTCTATTTTAAGGCGCCTTGCAATTTTCAGTTCCTAAAAGAACTCCTAATTCAACACATCATTTAACCCTTAAAAATTCAAAATTAGTTCAAAGTTGTTCGCTTTAGGAGAGGAATCGAAAATTCGTCTCCATCCTTCTTTTCACATTGAACAGCGACTTTTTCTGTTTTAAAAATTTTGTACTCAACGATGTTTGATACATTGACAATCGTCAAACCATTCTAAGCAAATAAAATTCTTTCAAGCGGACAATAATAAGTAACATTGAACCCTTCGATTTTTCTTTAATGGTGTGTTAATTATTTCCTTAGGAAATGGTACAGCACTTAGAAACAAGGTCAGGTGTGTACAGCAATGAGGAATTTGTGGTGTTCAATTCTGTATGGTCAAGAAGTTCTCAAAAAGTACTTAGATTTTATGTGTCGCTGAGCTGCGATGAGAAAATTGGGACGCAGTCTGGTTACTGGAACCGGACCTGCCGAATGGAATAATGTTGTTTTGTTCAGTAAAAAGAAGGAGGAGAGCGAATGTCACCCAACTCCACCAAATTTTGTAGATATATATTGCCCTTGGGAAGCGAGGCACAATTTCTGTGTCACTCCAAGCCAACTATTACACTTATTTTTGTTTTTAGTTGCCAAGCAATTAAATAACTCATGCTAACTGATATATTTTTAAAGCTGTTTATATGTATAGGCGCCTACGAGTACAACACAACACCACTCCTTTCATTTGGACAAGCACTGTTTTTATACGTCAACCCCTTTGCATTCTTACGCACCAACTACTGGGCTGTCTTATAATTTGATGCAATTAACGGAACAGCCAATCGCGGCAATGTTTGATTTGGTTGTACTTCATAAAACTCATTTACATGAGTCAATCCTTCTTTAGTTAGGCATATCATGGCGTATTCAGGCAATAGAATCATTAGCGTTCCACATTGCTGGCTGATTTATTTTACCACCAAAATGGACTGCGTAAAATACGTTTTTATACCTCTCAGGGAGATATTTTTGCGTAGAAATGATGAGGACTCCAATAGAATTGTCTGGTAAAATACTAATGGCCGCAGTCGCAAAAGTATCGTGACGAATTTACAAAGTGTTTATTTGAATTAACAACTCAGTAGTTTTTTTTTGAATCTGTGAATTTCAACATGAATTTGGCATTCGGATGCAAATTTGGACTCATCACGTCCTCCCCGAACATGCTGTCAGTTCCGTATGGTTCACAACTTTCTAACGTAACCAGAGTCGTAAGGCATTAGATGCAAATTTGCCTTACAAAACATTCGCCCATTAACATTTATATTACAGTGAAAAACATTTGTTTCAAAGTTAAGCCATGGTGATAAATATTTAACGAAAGGTGCTCGTTTCTATTTTTGTGGTAGTAAAATCTTGGTAAAGACCAGATTGCGCCCTCCTAATTTCTTAATCATAACCCAGTTTTAAGTGTCGTCTTTGAAACTTCCCTAAAAACCAACCATAACGGAGCACTAATAAGCGTTTCCACGATAACCACCGGACACATTCTTGCGTATTACGGGAGGTGCAATCTACCATATTTATTTTGTAAGGTACGCAAGCTTATCCTTAAGCTTCTATTTATTAGGCCAATTGTACTACAAAAATATGTAGGGCGTTGCAACAAACGCATTCACTGCTACTAATGTTTCGCAGATGGCTTACGTGGTTTGCAGGTAATTCCATACTCCTCTTGGATGGCTACGAAGGCTGGCTGACAGAAACATTCATTCTTGGTGACAGAGCAGAAGCTGTTAGGCACCCGGCGACTGCAGTAGACGTCGCCCTCCTCGGCGCACGGACCTGCAGCAACAACATGATATTCGTCAGCCCAGGTCCCAGTGGGACATGTAATAATGAGACGCAGGAGCTGTAGCAGCAATAGCATCGATGTTGGTAAGATCAGCATCAATTGAGCAAGTGCTACAGCCCCTTTTCTGCACTCTGCACGTGCGTATTTTGGGAGCCAGTGCCTGCTATGAGCAGCCAATAGCCTTTGAGGCGGTAATGGTTGGACGCAGGTGAGTACCTTAGCTTAGGAGCCGAATTTTTTTTCTTACATTACTCTGAAATTTCGCTCGCTCTAGAGAACCTTAAGGTGATTATGCTAAACCTTCAGTTCATAACAAAGTCCAATGTCTGCTTGGTGTGTTACATAGCTGTATAGTTGAACTAAGCATAGGACAATGTTGGAATTATTGTTTACCTAAGTCCTTTTTACCGAATGATGGTGCTAATTTACTTCTTTAAGACGGTGTCGCTAATTTTTCCTACTGCATACCTAAAATAAAGCTGCACTCCAAACAAATGCACCTTAATGAGCACAATTTATTGCGCTTTGGCTCACAATTACCTTCAATTTATTTTTTATGCGATTTTGAATGCTCAAAAAGTCTAAAATAATTCTAAGTCAATCGCTGATACATTTATAACGAAAGCAGTTGTCCCGACATGCTTTTCTTTACTTAAGGCAGCGAGGTCGTAGTGTCAGTTTTTCGCCCTTTATTCTACAATCGTCCCATTTTTGAAAATGTTTTAACGAGAAATTACGCTTGCGATATTCAAGGCGTGTGTCACGAAGTGAAAAGACGCGTACGCAATCCTCACAAAGTGGATCATTTGTTGTATTGTTCTGATACAAATTTTCTTTCAGTATGATATTCTTACACCCAACCTTGGCACTATTGTCATTGCCTCCCATCATATAAGTGGAAATCTGATGACTGTTAGTGGGGTCATCTTTCTCTCTTCGAGGTGATTGTTCTGTGGAGACTGTGGCTGGAGGCTTAATAAAGGGCAGTCCCAGAAGGTAGTGCTCACATAATATTGTGTTGTTGCGTTGGGCTCCCAAATGCAGTTACAGACACTCGGACTAATGCTAACAGCCGCATCACTCTTGTTAAAATGATCGTTCTTACTCTGGTCTTACGCTTACTTCCGTTAACAGGGAATCCTCAAATCGCTACACACAGCTAGAATTTCTATTTTCGCTGCTTTATGGTAACGCAACCTACACTTCCATTTTTATAGAATAACAGCTAGAAATTTATGAAGAAGGGAAGTGCTGATTCTTTTGTGCGTCAAACTTATTTGACGTTTGTGTTTAAGCTAAGGTGACAATCTGTCACACTTTGTCACTCTTAGGGAAGAATATGAGCCTTCCTCTTTCTGGCTTCGATTTGTAGCAAGATTTAAATAATTTGAACTGTCGACTCGAAGCGCTGGGGTTTCGCATGCTTGACATCTTCTACATGGCAGTGACGAGGTGTCTGCAAGGTTGCCTTAAGATGTCTGGCTGACCAATGTCACAGTGCCATCGCTGAACAATTTATTTTTAAGATTAATCATTAAATTTTTGGATATTTGTTGCCATTTTACGAGTTGTGACTGGATTTGTGCAATCTCGCTAGCTCGAAATGGATCACCTTCTGACAGTTTTGTCGCTCTTAACTCCTTTATTACGAAACAACAATTGTAATGTTTCTTTATATGCGCTGCCGATGTTTTATTTTTTTTTCTCTAACTTAATGCGCCAATGTTTACAAACTCATAGCTCGTTACTTTCTAATTTTTTTATTGCTGTTCATCTGCCGTTGTTCTATACAACAATCAAAACTTAGTGACCTTGCAATTTTACCCATTGAGCTTTTTCTTTTTGGTTGAGACCTTAAATAGCGTTTCAAATAATTTCGATAATGATTACAAACGACTTCGATTTAACATAATACACGAAAATCGGGAACTTCATTTTCGTACACAAAATTTAATTCGCTTCATAGCTTTGAGTACGCCTTGCAGACGATCGTTTCGTGCAGCAATTCAAGGGTAGGGTTAAAGGAAAACAAGCTAATGCAAAGTTGTTCGTTTCCAGAGGAGAATCCCTGAATGATTGAAAAAGTTTGCTCTTAAGGAATCCTATACGCTAATTTTATGCTTTCAGAACTGTGGATGGCAGTGGCCGTTGCCATTACGCAGCATAAACTCTTGGTAGGTGAAAAAAAGCATAATTCTTTCAATTTCACCTAATTTTATACATCGAATGTCAATGAATGAGATGATAAAACGATTCTACCCCATCACGATTGACTTAGGAGCACCCAAAAACTCAATGAGACGACTCATAGTAACTTGTCGAAGAAGTCGACTTCGCGATTCCTGCCCAAATAACAGGAGCCTGGTTTATGTCAGCCTATTTAAAGTTTGTAGGCACTTGTTAAATTTAGTTGTCTTGTTACCTGACACTCAATGTAGCAAAGTGCAACATTTTGGCAAAACGAATTTTACTATAACTCTTTGATAAGTTCAACGAAGCAATGTATGCTTACGATTGTCAAAAGATACGCAATCGAACTAAGACATTTATAAAAATCTTTTTAGTTGCATGAATATGTTACTAGGTTTTATAAGTAGCAAATGGCGTGTGGCATTTGTTGCTTTACACATCTCTAAAGTATGAAACTATTGAATGAAGCGTTTTGGCAGCTTTGTTCTAATTACTTCAACAAGAATGTAGCGTATCTAGTCTGTTCATAAATTCTACTCCTGTAGGCATAGTTTAAGATATCCTTGAGCAAAACCTGCTTTCCATTGGGGAAGTTAAAATGGCACCTGTGCTAGCAGCATTGGAAACATTAGCAGCAGGATTTTAGTAATGTAATCCTTTCCAACATTAACCAACAAAACTTGGAGGCAGATGCAAATTGTAAATGAGGAAATCAATCATTTGAAGAGTGATACATATGAATTCACTATTGTCCTTGTTATAACCTTCAATGGCGGGAACAGAGGTTTGAAAATTTCGAATTTTAATTACAATTTATACTAAAAACAAAAAACACCTCTTACCGGTCCTTTAAAAAGGTTAAAGTTAACTGTACTAAAGATAATTCCCTTTTATCATTGACACGCAGCATTTTACCTCCTTGTGGTTTCAGTGGCACAAGTTAGCCAATTGAATATTAGACCATGAGGATGTCAGCTAAGATCCATTCCATACATATTCTATTACACAATAATCAACGCTTAATTCTATTGACTACGGGAAGCAAATGAGAGCCACACTCATGCATAAGTCTTTTTAAAGAAAATAATCGGTGGTAAAGTGGAGGTTTGTGCATGAAGCCTCATATGTGCATGGCGTTCATTTTCGAGCTGATCTACATCACTTTTGCACGTAGTACTTAACGCTGTACTTTTGTCAGTTATTTGCCAGAGTAATATAGACGGCAAGTTGCAAATGGCATTTTAAATAACAGTGCCTTGAGCAATAATTTATGTATGTGTTCGATGAAGGCACCACTCATTAGAAGGTAGTTATGCGAAGTGTGGCCAGCAACCGCTCTGTATACTGTCACCCTAACAAAGTGACTTTTGTCATTTCACTTTAAATATGATCATATTTGGGGACTCATTATCATTGAATATGGGCCTGTGTTTGGAATTCAGTTACGGTTACTTGATTGGCGGTACTGCCATCGTTGAAAGACCTTAGCTCTGGACCAATACCAATACCCTCTTGTTCTACTCACTCGGGGCTCACAAAGTAGTTGAAATTTTGAATGCAACTTTTTATTCGAAAACGTCGCAAGTCCCAATGCCTTCTCTACTCTCCTACTCGCTAAGCTGTGGAAACTAGAATAAATCGCCTTGTCCTCAACAGTTACATGGTTTTAGGCCGTCAAAACAATATCCACCTAAGAGTCGTGCACTTTTATTTCTTAACCAGTCCAGGACACACGAAACGCCATCGCAGTCAAATATCGGCCCAGCTGATGCTGAAAATGTTTATTTGTAACCCTGATTACGTTTTGATTGTTAAGAGAAGTTTACAAAGTGACATGTCGAAGGCGCACTTCATAATAAGAGAGAAGCAATGCGTTGCATTTGGCAAAGGTGCCATTCAGCTGACCGCTGTCCACCCCCTCCCCCTCCTTTCTTCTCCTCAAGTGATGTGACCTTGGAGGCGTGCCATTGTCAGCAGACCTCTCTTACGCATTCGATGAAGCCTTAAAACGCTACACAGATCAATTTGCTCGCATAATATGTAATAAAGTGCCTCCAGTAATAGTAAAATTACGTTTTTTAAATGCTGTTGGTTCGCTAGCATTCATTTATCAAGGCGCTCAGTAGGCATTTAAAGGAAGTTAAAATTAGGGGTGGAGTCTACGACCAAATCGAAAGTTATTCTAATCCAGAGGGGCAAAACTAAAAGTGGAATTTAGCTACGCCCCAAACAATTCTTAATCTGAAAATTGCGCACTTACAGTCAAAACATATTCAAATGTTAAATTTAAAAAAATATCTAAACTGAACCTTAAAATTGGGCATTGTGACAAAAGTTAACACACACACATTCGATAAAAAAATGGAAGTAGGACCGGCAGATGAATGGGGAAGTAATAAAGATGCCCACAAATACAGGCAACATTGTTGTTTGATTGATGAACGCGAACCACAATAATTCATCGATGTGAAAGCAAACGCACACACACACACACAGATAAGCCAAAGCTGTCCCTACGTGGTCTACATATGCTTATATTTCAACCCTCAAAAATCTGTCACAGTGTTAGCATAATCTCTTAAACCTTGCTTCTCTTGTTATTAAAAGGTTTAATTTAAAGCATTTTCGGTTAGATAAGTGTTTTAGTGCGCTGAGACCAGTTAGGAATTGTTGCTTGCGAAGGCTTTTAAATGGTGTCAAATTGTTAGTTTTTCGACGGCCATTCATCACTGGGGTTTATTGGAGCTATTCTTACACTCTCATATATGTCCATCTATGGTGTAAATCTGAGCTGCCTGCGTATTGCGCTGTTATTTGCATGCAATTGCTTGATGAGCGCAACAAAGTGTCCTTCTAAAAGCCATTAATAATCCTCCATAGTCATC